ATCCAGGAAGGAACTCATGACGAAAAGTCGGTGTTCGCAAGATGTCCGAGGGTTTAAAGATTGATGATAATGGCGAAGATGAGAAACTAAATCTTATTGTATGTGGTGATGGTGGAGTTCCAGGAGGACCGTAGGTATAAGGACAGAGGCTGAGGGTTGTAGATGGTGGTGATTTGTGTAGTTTGGTAATGAGCCTTTATTTCCAACGGAGCTGGAGACGTTGGTGGAGAAGTGAACCGGCATGTGGTTGGTTTTAATGGGGTGTGGGGGAGTTCTGAAAAAGAATCCATGTGAGGAGTCAGAGGAATTTAACAGAAAAATATCCGGAAAGACTTCTTCATATCACTAGTAGAAACATGGTCTGAGGGTCACAGACACTCATCTCTGTTGATACGGCACTCTCTGCATGGAGTTCTCTCTCTCCTTCTTCCTGCTGTGTGAACATAAGCAGTGGTATGAAGGAGTCATTCCTGACTAATAAAAAAATTGAAAAAACATTACTAAATCACTTCAAATATCCAACAATATTTGATACATAAATTTGTCTCATGGCAATAAAAAAGACAAATCAAACTTATGGTTTTGTGTATAGCCTATGCAGGAGACTATCTGAATTCCCACAACCCTTTGCATGACAGGCCATGTAGGCACAGCCCGCCTCAGAAAGTTTAACAAACATACTTTATTTCTTTTTGACTATTGTATGTGACACAGGCTCATGTACCCTCTTTTGTTTGTTTTGGGTTTATAATGAAGAGTTTCAGCCATATGCTGCATTTGTGTAATTTGCATGTTTTGTAGTTCTTGTAGTCTTCTTGATAACAAGCATAACTCATTTGCACGTCTGTCGCGCAATGATGTCCATAAGGCTAAATGCTGTCTGGATTCAGCACAGCAGTCCAGAGATCCTTTCCTAACCAGGATCATGTTTTTACTGTTGACTCCACAAAAGGTGAATGAAGAGGAGTTAGGAGCAGAGTTTGCAGTATTAGGATGAGGGTTGGAAGAGCTCACTCTTGCACAGGCGGCTTCACACTAGAATGCTGACTTGTACAGTTCCTCCTGTAGGCTATTGGCTAGAAAAAGCCCCCAGATCCGTGGGGGTCTTATCTGTAAAGAGCAATGCTAAGACCCTCCTATCACTCTTCTCTTCATGACTACTCTTGGAGGCTCAGTCAATGAACACCATAAACAAGTTTTGGAGCAACGGAAACAAGTCAAACCCACTCTGGGAAGAAGCATGAGTTTTAGTTTAGCCTGTGAAGACAGGAGGTCTTATGTTTAAGACCAGAGTCCGCTATGCCTGGATTTCAGTGGTTCATCCCTGGCATAAGTGTTTTTACATGACTTTTCATGACAGCCACATCAACTTGGTCAGGCAACAAAGTCAAACTTTTCTCAGGCAGGAAACTTTGGTTAGAACTATTTGAAGCACACATGACTCAGCTCCCACGTTAAATACATAATTTGGCTTGTCAAAATTGCATGCAATTCATCCTCAGGAATGCAAAGATGTTTTTCTTTTTTTTCCTGGTCAAACCAAGGGAGTGAATCATCACTGAGTTGGTCTTTATCTGAACTAGAATAAAACTCCTGAGTGAGTAATTATGTGGGTTTGGATGCTGTTTAAGAGTACTGAAAAGTCAGCAAACAATGTTCAGAGCTGATCAGTAAATGTCAAACTGTCCTTTGAAATGGGGACATTGAGCGACTAGTGTAAACATCACTCATGTTAATCTTTTCTGTTCCTAGTGATTTACGTGGGTCTCTAATTGCAATTTCAAGGGAAAATCTATTTTAATTCTAATATATAAGAGATATCTGTTTTAGTTAATTGTTTCTGTCATCACAACATTGCTAAGCATAAATAATGTACAAGCAACACTTTTCTCTTTTCAGTCTTTATAAAATAATAATCTCCTACTCTACTTGTGTATTATGAACTAAGTAAAATGTAAATGTGTTCATAATTATATTGCATCTATCTGAGATTCAAAAGCATCATTTTCATAAAAAAAAAAGTCATTTATTTCCATGGTAAATATTTATAAGATAAAGAACAGCTTTTTAAGTTATAAAGCAACACTGCTTTTTTCAGTGTTTTGTATGTTGTAGGTCAAAAAGCCACAAATATGATCATTAAATGTAATGCTCCAAAAAAAGGTGCACTTACAGCAGGGACAGCTTTAATCTGCAGATGGTTGCAGACAATAACTCATCATTCACCCTGATCTCATACAGGCATATTTAAAACGTCAGACCTCTAAAGCTTCACAGAGATTCTTGCTTTGTATCTTTAAAGCTCTGGCTACCCACCTCAAGAGGTGCACTAGTGAAGCAGAAACCAGCTTATTAAAGAGGATGTTCTCCACTGAATGATCAAAGGTATTCTCCCAGGGGCTGAGTAGAAACACAAGACTAGTAACATCCCTGCTACATGGCTGGAATACCTGAAAACTGACCACCAAAACCATACATAGGAAGACCTGTTTATACTATTTATGCAATTATTCTGATTTCATTATAATCCTGGAAAACATCTAAAACAGGGTCTGAGGTATGAAATGTACCCAACCAACTCTGACATGTTCTTATTTTGTTTTTTTTTAAATGACAGCTCTGTACGAGCACAAGAGCTGCTGATTGATTAGAGTCTGGAGAGGTTGATGCATGCTTGATGTGATCATGAAGAACCCTAGAAAAAGGCTAATCCATTTAAATGCCGACCAATAAACTACCTTGGCACTACATATCAATTCCTGCCAGGCATCATAGATTCAAAGATTAGAAAATGATTTTGTTTATGAGCAGGGCCAGAAAGGAAAAGAGCAAAGACCACCTTCAATTAGACTGCTGCATTCTTCTCTCTAATTTAAAATTTTTTGCTGTTCATTTTTTTTTTTTTTTTTTATAATTTTTTATTTTTAAACGTTTTCACAGTATCAAGACATATATAGACACAAACATAAACATATATGGGAAGAATGCCAATATTCACAAGACAAGGTTTTAAGTACTTTAAGTACAGAAACGTATCATTCATACAAAATCTGACCTTAAGGGTTTTATGTACTCAGTCCATTTAGTCCAGATTTTGTAAAACATGTCCTTTTGCATCCTGAGGGAAAAAGACAACTTTTCCATGACATATATTTCATGTATTATATTGATCCAGTCCTCAATAGTTGGAGATTCCACTCTCAGCCATTTTCTTGTGATGGTATTTTTACTTGTAATAAGTAACATACCAAGTAATCTTTTATCATTGTTATTCCAATTTGTCACAGGAACATCACCCAAATATAATGTTTCACATTTAAGGGGAATTTTAGTACCAAATACATTATTAACATGTTCATCTATATATGTCCAATAATTAAGTATAACTTGACATTCCCAAAAAAATATGGAAGTGGTTGGCACCAGTGACCCCATATAGTCTCCAACATGCATCCCCACCACCTCGATGACGTTTCTGGATAGGCGTAATAAGGTACCTGATCATGTTCTTCCAACTGAACTCTCGCCATGTATTCGACCCTGTTATTTTCCACTGAAACTGACATATGGTATATTGACCCAACTGTCAAGCGAGATACCCATATTTTCCTCCTTTTCCCACCTCTTCTTTATACCTTCTGTGCTGACTTGATGTTAGATTTTTAACTTGATGTTCTAGTTTATTTTTTTCTTATTTGTAGCTAGATCTTGCCAAGCATTTAAATATATTCAATATTTTTTTTTTTTTTAGATTTGATTCAATTTTATTCATATATCACCAATTCACAACTTAACACATAATCTTAAGCCACATCACAGAGACAACTCAATCAGCTCTTAAGGTAAGTTTGGTAAAAAGTTTTTATCTAAGGAAAACCAGCTGATTGTCCCGGCCCATTGACTTTCTAGGTATCGCTCCCCCTGGGTGAACATGTGGTGACTGTATAGCTTGCATTTAGCCATTGTCTCTGCCTTAATCCCTCACACAGACCATGCATGCAGCGACAATAGAGAGGAAAGCTCCCTTTTAACAGGAAGAAACCTCCAGCAGAAGCTAACTGAGGATTCGTGGAGAGAGAAGCAGACACGTAAAATACTGTACACATACAGTAAATACTAATGTTAGAAAATGTAAAAATAAACTAACTCTGTAGGTGACTCTGTCCAGGAAACAAATCATTAACCAGATAAGCTCTGAGCCAGTTTTCATGTCAAAGGACTGAATGAGAGCACAATACTTAGTTAATTATGTCTAGGAGAAGAAAACAAGACTAAATACGGAAAAAGATGCCCAACTCATCATCTATAAGCAAAGGTATTAAAAGCTGGATGGTGTCCTGAGCAAACTGGAACTGACCAGATGAAGGTACTATGACATTTAAATGTACAGAAAACATACAATTAATAGTTAAACTAACAAATACACAGAATAGGAGAATACAGACATAATGATGCAGAATAATAAAAAGTGATACATACATCCTCCAGCAGCCTAACCAGCTTATCTAGGAAACACTAGTACATTTACAGATTGAGAGTGAAGTGCTCTTTTAGACACATAAGGATGCATCAGATCTCTAATATAAGATGCAAATTCATTATTTAGGGCTTTTTACATGAGAAGTAGTATTTAAAACTCTATTGTGCATTTTATAGAAGCCTAAATAGTTGAAGGGAAGCCAAAACTCTCTCCTTATTATCATTTTATGTATCCAAGTTTGTTAATGTACCTAAACATGTAAAGGTACATAAACGGATTCTGCATCTGACAGCAGAGATATATTAATGTGTCGCCATCTAGTGTCCTTTCCTGAAATTACAATATGTACAGAATATATTGCGGATTATTATATATAAGAGAGCTCCTTTTTGTCATTATTGCCTAAAAAATTTTAGAGAATAGAGTTGACGCCTCTTTGGTGGATCAAGGTAGTTTTTTGATTTATTTATTTTTTTCCCGTAACGATACGGAGCTGAATTTCTCTTTTCTGTTGTTTCTGGACGGCGTGTTTTTGCAAACGTACTGGTCTCGCCCAGCTGCTAACCAGGTAACTGTGCTTAAAAAATCCTTGCAGCATCGACGGGAAACGTATACTTATTGTTCTTTAAATGTGTATTGTGGATAACATATAGAATTTATTGTGAATATTAAGTTTATGTGTATCGTTTTGTTTTAATTACGTTTGTTTTTTTAAGCTAGCTAATGTTAGCAATTTGACTTCCTGAATTTTAACAACCAACCACCTGACATAAAGCCGTATTGGTCATTGAATGTATTTTGAAGTATAACCAAATATCATATACACTTTTACTGCAGTTCTACCAGCATTGTATGACATTAGTTAATTTAAGATATTGCATTCAATAAACCTCTTTCTTAATTCTGCCTATGGAACCGTATTGTCTCTCCAGATATTCCTATAGAAGATCATGGAGTTTGCCGAGCTGATAAAGACCCCCAAAGTGGACGGGGTGGTCCTTCATCGACCATTTTTGCCCACCGTGGAGGGAACTCTATGTTTAACCGGCCACCACCTGATTCTGTCCTCCAGACAAGACAACACAGAGGAGCTTTGGCTGCTCCATTCAAACATAGACTCCATAGAGAAAAGGTGACATCTATTATTATTGAAGGAATTGTGTTTTATTTTTGCACAGATGTTGTGAGTCCAAATGTTTTCTTACCAAACATTGCCCTAAGGTGTGCTTAATGGCAAAAAATACTCACTTATCAAACATTTTTAGATTTTGTCAAGTTTCAGCTAAATATTTTTTATTGGGATTTAATGCAACCTGAAGGAGCGTATGGTTTTGAAATTGAAATAAATATAAATAGCTTTAAAATATTTTACAGATCAAAAGTTTGGAACACATGTATTTTTTTCCTAGACTGTATAACAAGACAAGCAGTTGTCTTCAGGAGGTACTTGATTAATAGGAGGTTGAAACAAATTCTTTTTGCCTTTAAACCCGCACTGCACATTACCCTAAAAACAAAGTCTCCAGGACTAAACATGGTTGCAGCAGCTAATATTTTAGCCTGATCTTATTTGGTTTCTTTGTCTTTTAGATTTGTTGGCTCTGTTGGAAACATCATAGTCAAATGCAAAGACTTGAGGGTGATTCAGTTGGACATTCCTGGCATGGAAGAGTGTCTCAACATTTCTGGCTCTATTGAGGTAAAGGCTTCAGGGGAGCATGTGGAAGTGTTAGACGTAACCTTTATGGAGGGTGAGAGAAAAATCTGTGCATTATTGAAATATTCTTTCATATGTTTGTTTCCCTAAAGGCTCTGTCCACACTCGACTCCGTCTCTCTGATGTATCCTTTCTTCTACCGGCCTATGTTTGAAGTCATAGAGGACGGGTGGAATTCATTTCTTCCTCAGGATGCATTTAAGGATTTGGAATCAATGGTAAAACACAGATTAGTTAGAAGACAATTCCCCTAACTTGGACTTTTAATCTGCCACACTATTTTATAACCTCATATAATAAAAGCTATCGTCTCTCTCAGACAGATGAGTGGAGGCTGAGTGACGTCAACAAAGACTTCAGTGTGTGTCCATCATACCCCCGTCTAGTGGCAGTTCCTAAAAACATTGACGACGACACCCTGAAGAAAGTAGCCACCTTCCGCCATGGTGGGCGTTTCCCAGTGCTTAGCTACTATCACAAAAAGAACGGCATGGTGATGATGCGTTCGGCGCAGCCCCTCACTGGCACCAACGGGAGACGCTGCAAAGAAGATGAGAAGCTAATCAATGCCACTCTGAGGCCAGGAAAACGGGGCTATATAATCGATACACGCACCATCAATGTTGCCCAGCAGGCCAAAGCCCGAGGTGGCGGGTTTGAATCTGAAGGCAACTACCCACAATGGAGAAGGATCCACAAAGCTATTGAAAGGTTAGGACTTGCAAAGGGATGAGTTTCTTGCAAAAGTATCAAGTTTTGTGTCATAGAAACGCACTTGGAGTTGGATGGGAGAGTAACTATGTTTTGTTTGTTTTTTTCTGTACACATAAAAAGTGTATTCATTTATATTCACCCCACTAAAACAATTATTTGTTGAACCAACAGGTGCAATTACAGCTGCACGAATCTGAGGGTGTTTAAGAAGAATTTTAGATCTTTCTACAGTAGCTCACCAGCAATCACACTCAGTGAATGTTTAATGTCAAAGTATGTGAGTTTGCTTCTCATTTCTTAACATTTCCAGGTACAACGTCCTCCAAGAAAGTCTGATAAAGCTGGTGGAAGCCTGCAATGATCAGTCCCACAGCATGGACCGCTGGTTAAGCAAGCTGGAGGCCTCCAACTGGCAGACTCACATCAAGGAGATCCTCACCACTGCTTGTCTGGCTGCCCAGTGCCTCGACAGGTCAGGGGTCTATCTTACATTTCACAGTCTTAGCTGTTTCAGAGAGACGTTCTGATAAACTCCTGACTGTGTGTTTGTCTCAGGGAGGGAGCATCAGTGCTTGTTCATGGAACAGAAGGGACAGACTCCACGCTGCAGGTGACCTCCTTAGCTCAGATCATCCTAGATCCAGGATGCAGGACCATTAAAGGCTTCCAAAGTCTGGTGGAGAGAGAATGGCTCCAGGTTAGCCTCCCTTATCTTTGAAACACTGTCTCAAATATTCATGGAATATTCTGGATGAAATTTTGGCTTTGCTCTTCATTACACGTCCTCCTCTTTAACCAACTACTCAGGCGGGTCACCCATTCCAGCAGCGCTGCTCCCAGTCTGCCTACTCCAACAGCAAGCCGCGGCAAGAGGCTCCCGTCTTCCTGCTCTTCTTAGACTGTGTGTGGCAGATCCTACGGCAATTTCCTTGCTCCTTTGAGTTTAACGAGAGCTTCTTAGTGCTGCTGTTTGAACATGCCTATGCCTCTCAATTTGGTACTTTCCTGGGCAGCTGTGCAGCTGACAGGTCAGTCCAAGGAGCCACTTTCTGCTTACATTTTTTATTTTGTTGCCTCATTTTTCTCTGGCAGAGAGGATTGGATTCAGTCCTGTTTTCCCTTTTATTTACTTTTGTCAAGCCTTATTTTATGTCTCTACCTTTTCCATAGAGCCAGGCTGTCTCTTCCTGAGAAAACAGTGTCCCTATGGTCTTGGGTGAATCGGCCACAGGAGCTGGAGCGTCTGACCAACCCCCTTTACGAGGCCAACAGTCTCGTGATTTGGCCCTCTGTGGCTCCTCAGAGTCTGCTGCTGTGGGAAGGTAAGCAGCAGGTGAAATCGTGGATGGCAATAATACTAATTAAATTACTAAAAATCTGTAATCTTAATTCAATAAAACTAGGTCCCATAGAAGTGTGGCTTTGATTCAAGCTTCAATTTTATTCAAAGTTTGAAAGCTGCTAAATGGAGAAAGTCTGGTTAGATAAATGTTTATGCGTTTAATGTTTCAGCTGTTGCTTGGCTGAAAACATGATCGGGTTGCATCTATCTATAAACGTTTATAAGTCCTACCAGTAGGGGGTACTAAAGATCTCACAAATTAAAAATTTTTCAAACAGCGGGACAAATAAATCAGATTTTTATATTTAGCACAATTCTTTCCTTTAGGAATTAAATACAATTCTTATAATATAGGCTAAATTAAAAACACAAGATGCCAAACTTCCTGTAGATAAATGTTTTCTTTTCCTGATCAATAAGTAAAGGAAATAACAGTCAATAAAACATTGGGTCAATCAATCAATGAAACTTAGTTTGCAGAGCACGATTCATATAAACCGCTGGAACACAAAGTGCTTTGCCTCGGTTGAAAATGGACACTAGGTTAAAAGAAACTCACCTGAAGTTGTTAAAATGAATAATATTTACTTGGAAACATGTTGACTAAAGAAAAAAACAGATGTGGGGCAACACAGGAAATCAAGATATTTAAAAAAATGTAATAATTTTACATGAAATTAATGCAAAGATATGAACTATATCTATGAACTTAAATCTTTAAAAGTAAGTGCATTACAGTCCAATAGTTATATAAAACATGTTTTTTTTTCTTTTTTTAATATTAATAGTAATGACAGTACATGCATTTTGGTATTGTTGCATTAATGGATGATAACCAACTAATATCAATAACCGAAAACCAGACTGAATAGATGTGTTTTTAGTAGGGATGAACACTCTCTGGTTCTTTTTTTTTTTATTATTTATTAAAGGTGCATTGTAGAAATTTTTTGTGGAAATATTTAAGAGAAAATAGCAGAACATTGTAGCTTTGTAGCATTATGGGCTGAACTGAAGGAAAAGCCTTCCTGACACGTGAGCCTGCTGATGCTGTTCAGCCTAGAACGTTTTACTACCAGCTCGGTTAGCCATCATAAATCACATATGGGCTAATCTTAGTCCAGTAAGCCACTTATAGAAGTGGCACTGAAAAGTCATCAGCAGTTAATGAGTGGAAGCTGGTTAACTTTAAATCAACTGTTTACATTAAAACAATGGGCTTTTTTTTTCTCTGGAGGTTCTTGTATCAGAAGGACTAATGGATTTCAGGACCTTGGTGGATGATTCAGTATGATTTATTTTTTTATATATATATATATACATATATAATTTAAAGTCACCATATATTTAAATGAATCTATACAACTCATTCAGTGTCATTCCAGCATCTCAAAGGGATAAGGCACATAAAGCTTCCTAAATGACCACTGAATCTTGATTATAGACTTTAAAATGCTTCACTCCTCCAAACCAATGTTTAAAATAGCACAGCAGACCTGTGGTTCAGTATCACCTCATGACAATTAGAACTTTGCTTAACAAGCTCTCACTTTGCAACAACTTACTGTATTTCTAATATTTAAAAAGTTTAAAAAAGATGTTATTCATTCAAATCGAAACATCTCCAATCTAGATGAACTATTAAAAGCTGAATTGTTCATTAATTTAACTGTTTACAAACGATAAAAAAAAAAAAAAGTTTTAGAGTTACTTTTAAAATTGGATTGAATGTTAGTCAAATTTGTTAAGAATTATGGTAAAGCTATGACTGGAAGTACTGTAAAGCCAAATTAAAAAATTTAAGAGCAAATTGGTCAACTAGATTTGTTTTGTATCAGATCTATCTTGATTTCATAGCTCTTCATTGAAGGAATGTAAAGAAGTTTGACACCGTATGTGCTTGTCCATTCATAAAGAAAAGTTGGGGGATGGTAATCTGCACAGGGGTCACACGGTTCAGGCTTTCTGCGTGAAAAGCCTCCCCCACTGCCTAAAGCTTTATGCTAACGCTCGCTCTCAATGAAGTGAAAGCAGACATTTGAGAACTCGCTGAAGCACGTGACGTTCTGCTTACGTAGCCCTTTCACTTGAAAGGACCCTCCTTTCTGGGTTGATTTGAAACACTCCATGAACTCCGGATCTCTTAACTGCTGATGTGGGCACTAACAAGGACTCATGGTGGATGTCAAGCATCCACGTAAATGTAAAGCTCACTTTACTGCACATCATTGGACAAATTAAAATGCTAAATGGGTGTCCTTAGTTAAAAATTTAAGTTATTCAGTCAGACAATTGTTTAGGATTGATCTGTCGTTTCGACTCATCAGGCAACAAACCTGCCTGTTGTTGTTTAGCCAGATTAACTCTTTACAAATTTATTAACTCTTTACAAATTCTGGGTAAATTTATTTCTTCAATCATCATAATCAGAATCAAGTTTATTGTCAAGTAGGTTTGCACTTACAAGGAATTTGACTTGGTGTTGATGGTGCAGACAGATTAGATAAATATACAGAATCTATAGCTATATAAAATATAAAACATACAATATGCTACATACAATATATATTATATAGCTATATACTATATACACAGTAGATTGTGCGTTAATGTAATGCAGGAGGTCTGGAAATGCTACTTTGGTGCAACTTCTAGGTCCTGATCATGTCTTCAGACTTTGTCCAAAATAAAGCAAATTTGACAAAAAACAAAAAAGTATTTGACAAAAATGATTAAATATGCAGTTTATTAGATATCTGAACCTTTGAATTCTTATATTGTTACAAAACATCTGCTAACATCATGATTTGCTCTTGAATTTCATTTTGGACATTTTGCTGATGGATTTATACTGTTGGGAATATTTATCAGGAGGTTATTATCAGTGTTATTGTGTTAAATCATGCCTTGGTTTTATTTACCAGTTTTCTTTATGATTCACCTTATCCTGTTGTTGGACTACAGGTGTTTTCCTGCGCTGGAACCGCTCGTCCAGGTGTTTGGATGAGGCTTACGATGAAATGGTGCACATAATCGAATACAACAAGGAGCTTCAGAACAAAGTTAACAGTCTGCGCCGGCAGCTGGCTGAGCTGGAAACAGAAGATCCTCTGTTGAATGCTCCATAAACCGAAAAAGGTAGCAAGATGGTTAGAGGGAGGAGAAACTGTTCAAATAACTACAATATGCTCACATTCATCCAATGTTTAAGCGTTACTGCAGCTTAAGTTACTCTTCTGATATCTCAAAAAAGATTTTTTTTTATTTCAGATTTAGTAATAAATAAGTAAATATTATTAAGTAATTATTTGTGTTGTCAGTTCATTAAATCATGCATTTCTAATATGAGTTTCTGTCAAGCTTGAACTAAAACATTTCATCTCACTCTAATTTTAGTATATGCAGCTTTGCACATGCAGAAAAAAAAATCCTATGCTTGACTTATAGCTGAATCTACATTTGAAAAAATCATCAAACTAACTCCATTTGTTGCCATTTGTATTTACATTCTGCATGAGTATATGTTTTTCTGATTTTTTTTCTTACTATTATTCACTGAGAAACAATGTCTGTTAATGCAGGGTTCTGATGAGCATGCTGAACATATGTGGCATTGAGGCAGTGCAGGGTTGCTATGGCAACACGTGTGCTGCTGTAAGTTGGTGTGTGACTCTTCAACATGTTCAGATGAAATGTGTAGGCTGGGTCAGCACCTTCTGTACTGTACAATGGAGTTTTAAGGAGTACATTTCCATTCAAATTGTTATGTATCTGCTTTGTTTTACAGATTATGAAGTTCTGGTTTGTTGCATAAAATGATACAAAATAACTACTCGAAACATTAAGTTAACTTTTTAATGGCGCTACTTAGATGCTTGTGGCTAAAGGAGCCTGTTTATAGGTGTCAGATCACACGGAGATTCAATATATAGCAAAGGTGAAGTATCTTTATTACATATATAGAATTGCATATCAAGTGTTGAGTTTAATTATGCTGTATTTGTGGGCAAAACTACTCCTGAATATTTGGTACTGATGCACTTTTTATTGGCCTTATTCTTTAGTGTGTACAAAGCCATACATATACTCTTTTCATTCAATATGGTTAGTTGCCAGTGATTATAATGGGAAAAGTCTTCTCACAGACAGATCTTTGACATGTTTGTAGGTAATCTCCAACGTAGGACTTTATAGAAGTCATGAAAATCCCCTTCATTGATATTTTAGCCTTTTTGCTAGTTTACCATTAAAATCCTCTTTTCTTGTTTTGTTTTTTACTGTACTATGCTTGCCAAACAACCTTGACTTTTGAATCTTTCAAATTCAATTTTGAAAGGGGAGAGAAAATCAAAAATAAGCCAATGTTTTGTTTACACATTGCAACAGATGAACAGATATCTTTCATCTTTTGTGATTTCTTTTTTTTTTTTGTCCCTCACGATCTTCGTTTTCATTTCAGTTTCATAGCTTTTTAAACTGTTATAATTGTTTTGTTAGAATTAGCTAAATAAATATGAATCAGTGTACTGAAGTACTATAAGATGTATTTGGTTCTTCTCTAAGTTCCTTGTCGGCAAAACACTAATTGATCCCTTCAGTTTCAGAGCGTTTTTATAACTGACCCCATGCATGGTAATATTGGGTTGCAAATTTTTTCATTATGTTTTAACAAAGATCAGCAGGGCTGCTTTTATCTATATGTCATCAAAACATGGGTTGGTGGGTAAGCAATAGAAGCACTGTGTTAGATTTTTTTGTTTTTTTGTTTTTTATTCTGCACATTATGGGTTAGCCTTTGTGGTTATGTATTAATCGAACTCAAGTACTTTAAATGACATTGTTGAGAAACAGGTTTTCATTAAGTGTATGACATGATTTACCTTTGACCAATAATTCAGCTATATGTTTGCAAACAGTGAGATGGTAGTTTAAGCCAAATCCGTGGTGTGGTTTATAATTGTAAAAATGTAAGCCTCCCATTCATCCGTCTTTAGTCATTTTTATATCAGTAAAATAATCAATGAACTCTAAAAGAAATGATCTAAGCTTTAGACAAATGTCTTTGCCTGTTCTGTTAACTGACTTTGTGCAATGCTTTACTATAAAAGTACAGTTCACTTTTATGTACCCTGTACCACTGATGATTACATGCTTGTTTTTTGTTAATTTTGGAGATATTAAAGGTTAAAATTTAAATAATAATATGCTTTCTGTTGTTTTTTTTTTAATAGACAAATCTGTGGTTTTAGGCAGTTTTAGTTCAGAGTTACAGCGATGGGTCTGAAGCTGTGCTGCTCCAAATTTTAGGAAGACATTTTACATTTACAAACTACATGGCTGACAATGTGGGAAATGATAAATCTAACACTCTTGGCCTCAGTTACAGATCGACACCTTCAGTGACTGGTATATTGAATAAGTAAATGGATATGTGATGCAGGGGTAGCCTGAGTGCCGCAGTAGTTAGTCATTGCAGAGTTAATTCAGTTTTGATTTTTTTTTTTTTTTATTGCATACCCATGTTTTAAAGAGATCTTGAACAACTTTGTTCTCAGAAAGTGAGAATAAGCTGTCCTTGCCTGTAGGGCTGAAATACAGACCTATGTTTAACCCATCTACGAGAATCTAAGTCTAAATATTAAAGTAGCTTGAAGACACAATGGTGCGAGAACCCCCAACAGTTCTGTGATCATTTTATTTGAGATGTTATCAATTATTGATTTAAATGCACATGCAGTAGTTGTGTTTTTTTTTAGGAATTATTGGTAGTAAACTGAAGTTGTGTTTTTAATTTAACAAGATCTTGCGTTTTTTTGTGCCTAAACCTTCAAGATTAAATCAGAGATGCTATATATATATAGTTAGTCACTGTAGAGGTATTTCAGTTTAGTGTGCTGAGAGCTTTTAATTTGTAGTCATTAAAAATCCATGTTTTAAAGATGTCTTTTCCAGCCCTGTCTGTCCTCTGTTGGATAGTTCTGTGCTATATACAAATGAAAAAATGTGAGTCTGATCAATAAATAATTACAAAAATAGCCACAATGACACAAAGATTAACACTAAAAATATCCTCAAATCTAACTTTATGTTTGAAGCCCTCCACACTAATTTGACCCCTTGTAAAGATAGATAAAAAAAAAAAAACAATTAAAAAGTTTTGCAAAATTCCAACTTTGGATTTTAAAATACATTTATTCATTTGAAAAAAAAAAAAAGAATATATATATAGATATATATAGATATAGATATATCCAATAACCTATGCCCCCAGTCTGCTAGCTTCATCAAATTGTAGTCTTTCTTGTGCATCATCTTTAGAAGAGGCTTTCCTCCACAGCTGCCATGCTAATCAAACTGATGCAGTGGGTGGCGTATGGCCTAAGCAGAGACAGGCCGATCCCCCACCTCTGCAGCAATGCTGGTAGCACCCATACATCTATTTGCCAAAGATAAGCTCTGGATATGACGTTGAGCACATGCCCTTATCTTGTTTGGTTGACCGTGGCGTTGCCTTTTCTGAGTAAAATCAGTCCTGGTAAACTGCTATTTGGTTTCCTTTATTAGGCTCTGCGGTAAACATCGTGTGGTCAGTAGGAGAGAGTGTGAGAGCAGTTACCCCAAGTGTAACACACCTCCTTCCCATTAACACCTAAGAAACTGTAACTCTAACAAGTCACGTGACACCAGGGAGGGAACGTTGGTAATTAGAAACCATTTGGATATTTAGTTACTGTTGTAATCAGTTTTATTGCCAGTGATTGAAAGCTACATTGGCTTTTAAGGGGACACAAAATTCACAATGTACACAAGTTGTAAAACAACCATTTTATATTGTATAAAGTACATTAAATACAAAATAAGTTGTATTAAAAATGTATATCATATTCGATAAGATAAAAATTAAGAATTTGCAAAAAATATGATTGGTGTATTTTGAGGTTCTGTATCTTTATTTTAAGCCTGTTTCCCAAACCTATCCAGAGGCGAATAATTGTTAATGTGTGGATTAGGGGATATCACCAAATAATGAGTAGGTTAATCCTTTGGATTTCTATTTTTTTTTCTTTTAAATCACAAAATGAGCTTACATTAGTCTTCCATGCGATATGTGAAAGAGGATGAGCTTTCTAATGCAGCTCCAGAGGGCGTCAGTTTCAGTCTCACCCTTCCCATGCCCTTATAGCCGGTTCAGAAGAGAGTAAACAGCATCCAAGGAAGGTCATCACTGATGTTGCCACTGCTGTGACGAAGCAATCACCTGATGAGGTGCCTGAGGAATAAATAGCCATTGAGCAACTGTTTTTTTACAGGCATGAATTGGCAAACTTCCCCTGGAAAGATGCTTGAGAGATTAATTAGTGTTCTTATTCTACTATTTTAATATACATTGGTTTTTTTTTAATAATTTTTGATACAAACACAATTTCTATGTATCGGTTTATATCTTTACATTTCCTAAGATCTCATAAGGAAGCACCCATTTACTGTAAAAAAAAAAAAAACAGATAGAAACTGAATGTGTGCACACTCACATTATATCTTGTCTTTATCTGCTGGTAACTGTTTTTATGTATAAAATTGAAAGGTTTTGAATATTCTACTTTAGAGAAAAAAGTGGTAGGGGTGGGCACAGGGGTGGCCAATGATTGGCTAAGGCTGGCCATGGCCACCCCTGGCCCCCCATCTAGCTCCGCCGCTGTGTACCATATATTTATTGTTCCACAATAAATGTCAATAATATACAAAGAAGTTTGTGGTTGTGACTTACAAATCTGGAAACTGGAGGAGCTTTTAAAACTTATGTATAAGGATAACTTGCAAAATTAACTAGGTACTGGAACACACAAAGCTGCATGTGACTTTATTGCTGATCTTTTGTAGTAAGAGAAGGGGGGGTGCTCAAAGACAAATGGCTTTAGATGTTATGTTGTAGCATAAACACAAAGTTACTTTGACTTCATAACCACTAGCATAAGGATAAAAAAAAAACATTTTGTAGCGTTAAAGATGCAACAAAAGATAAGCTTTTAATTTTGTTTAGGAGTTCAAAAAGGTTTGCAGACCCTATAGTTTTACTGCAGCGCGCCAACTTGCAATAACAAAAAAAAGAGAAGCTGCTGAATGCACTCTGCAGACAGAAGAGCCAGCGTGTCGTTAGGTGACGCCAAAGGGAGGAAGGCGGACCGCACCTCCGCGGCTCCACCAATCCAACACGGAGCCGGCCTGCCCCCCTCTTAAGCAGATGGCCGCTGATAAAAAGATCCAGCGCGCAACTGACGCAACAGTGAACTGAGATAACATCCGAGCATCACGTCAGCGCGCAGGAGGAGCAGCTCAAAGCAGGAAGCCGCATCTCTGTCTCTCTGAATTTAAAGCCAGTTATACCGCATTTTTATTTTTGCGGTTTTTTCCTCTCATAGTTTGTCATCATCGGTGAGTAATCCTTTTTGTAAAACTTGAATTATGCCGATCGTTATTAAAATCTTGAGTAACATCCTATCAATTGTGTGCAATTTTCTCTAATTAGCTCAATTTATTTCTACCACGTGCCCTTTTTCACTGCGAATTGAACGCACTTTCTCCCTCTCTGTAGATATATCAGCGTTAGATATTATTAATAATAAAAATAACTCGTTTTAGTACCTTTGTGACTTAGCGGAAGGTTTGAGAAAGAGCGCTTCACCCGGCTTCTGGCCTGTATGCCATCCATTGTGGAAAAGGCGAAATAAAAAAAATATATATATTATTATTATTATTTCTTCCATAATTAAACATTAAATACTGAAGTTTATTTAAGTTAGTAAGGATATTAGCGGCCTTTATTAAATATATACGTAAGAATGCCTCCACGAGGCAGTGAAGAGCAGATCTCAGCCATATTATACCATTGGCTCTCATGATGTCTACGTAAACTGCGCAAAGGAAGTGAGGACTATACATCATTTGCCTTTTATTGACTCATCTTTAGGGAAAGTTTTAAATAGGCCAATTTTTTTCTTTATGTTTTTTATTTTTATTTATTTGTTTCATATGCACCTAAGCTTACCCTTGAAGTCTAATTAGGTAGTTGAAAGCAAAGAGTGTTTAAGTAATTCCTAATGCGTTCCAAAAATATTACCCAATCCGGTCACCAAGGTCGTAAACTTGTTCTTGGCACCGCTTTCCTCTTCTGCTGTATCACTGTACGCCCTCTCTCTCTGATTGGCTCTCTGTGAAGGCAGGGCAGTATAAATAATCTTTGGTTACATGCTTTCCAAAATTTGTGGGGAGCTCATTGACGCCCATCGGGTAAGCGCACTTCTGGCATGTCCATATTTTTTGCGCAAAAAGTCTGCAGGAATAAAACGATGGAAGGGCAGAGCTGCAAGGGTTTATCCAGTGAGGCAGTTTAGTTTATATATTTTAAGGTTATTTAAGAGAAAATATAACGATTTGATTTATTTAAGGGTTTAAATATGATTGAACGTGAACCTTTCTTGTGGATCTGACGCAGAGAGCGTCAGTGCGTCTTTTTCACATATTTTTTCGCCCGGTCATACTCTAAACTAATATAATATTGTATTTTTTGGGTGAGGTTTTTCATGTCAAATGTATGTCTTACTTAAATGTGTATACCTACATTTTAATTATTTGAAAAACAGCATTTTAATATTAAAAGATGTGAGTGCTTTTGTTTGACTACGTTTGATATATAAATTATTGGGGCTGCAACGAATGATTATTTTGTTAATAGATTAATCTGTTTAATATTTCTTTTATATTGATTAATAATCAGATATCAAAAAGTTTCTATTGGAAATTATTTACAGAATTAAACCGAATGAAACTAAAACTTTTCCACTTGGAATTCTGGATAGAACATATTGAGAGACCTTTTTTTTTCTTAAATGCAAAATATGAATATATATTTTAACAATTTTGGTATAATTACTCCTCTAATTAGGTTTCGCTATCAGATAAAACCATGTTTTAGAGTCTCTATACTCCAGGTAATGATTAATCGATTAGTAAATTAGTTTAGATGATCGATTTAGAAACGATTAATCAGATTATTGTTACAGTCCTTTAATATTATATTATTTTACAAAACCTTTAAAAAATGTAAAGGTTTTGGAAATTTGCTGGACCTTCTGTCTAAACGGGTCAGGAGTTGCTTCCCCTTTTTCCACCTGTTGATATGCCAGTCACTCTTTTGTTTTTTAGTTTCCTGAAGTTTATGAATCATAATAAAAATCATAAAATGTATTCTATTTTTATCATTTAAACTGTAATAATGATTATTTTGTTTTAATGCAGTAGGAATTATTACTTGCCTGTTTTTGATTGACGCTTAGATAATGTAATAACCATATTGACAGACATTTTTTAAATCATAAATGCAAAATATGAATATATATTTTCACAATTTTGGTATAATTACTCCTCCAAGTAGGTTCCTCTATCAGATAAAACAAATCAGCTTATCTGGTCACTAATCCTATGAGATAATAAGCCATTCTTTCACAGGGGTATTTTACTTCAGACAGTCTTACTGTTAAATTCATATACAATCTCATATATTTTTTCGTCTTTTTTGTTTTTAACTGTAGGTACCAACATGCCTGTTATCAGATCCCTCAGTAAGGTGGCCAAGCAGGCCCTGCTCAGCCCACCAGGGTGCGGCTGCCAGCCTCTGACAATGGCTGTGCGAACTATCAGCTTTTCTCCCCGGCAGATCACATCTGATGCAAGCTTCCACTCCGTGTCTTTCTCAGAAACAGACCACCCAAAGGTGCTAATCACAGGTATGAAGCATCTTCTTCAGGCAGCATGTTGCTCTGAAATGCATAGTCCCCCAACAGCCGCCTGAAAGGAGGGCAATAAAAGGAGATTTGTTAGCTTGTATAAACTGTGCTCTGGAGGGACTTTAAGTACATTAGTATTTTTAAGAGATTTGGCAAAGAAAGTTGAACACAGTTTCCATTTAAAACACAAAAAGTCAAGTGCAGCTGAATGTTTTCTCATGGCCCTTTTCTCCAGTGGATTAAATCTCCATGGAAATGGGTGCTGAAGATTGTTGGCTGCACCTCATTCTCTCTGCCCCATGTCCTCACATGACTCTGTATCTTTCTCAGGTGGCCTTGGACAACTTGGAGTGGGACTTGCCAAACTGCTGAGGTCAGAAATCTCATACGTTTTTTGTAAATTACAATCACTCAAGTTGTTCTCAGCTGGCTTCAGTTGTATGATGCGTCACTCATTTTTATTTACCGGTAATTGCATTTTCCTAACTCTTACTTCCTTGCAGGAAGAGGTTTGGCAAGAATAACGTCATTCTTTCTGACATCAGGAAGCCTCCTAACAATGTTTTTCACAGTGGTGAGTAAGCTTAAACTGCCTTTAGCAACAGTATTTCCTCAGTGTTTGGACACCAACCATATGTTCCCCTTGTCACCGTGTGACTGTTGCTGAAACCTTGAGAATATCCCTTATTTCACAACTTTAAACCTTATAATATTGCAACATGCTTCTGGTTTCTTTTGTGTTTAGCTGAAACCTATGAAAATATGTTAAAACCCTAAAATCTATAATATTAAAATCATGGTGTCATCAGTTATTCATTCGATGTTTTCAACTTGACTATAAATGAATCTCTCACCATCAGGTCCTTTTATCTACTCGGATATTCTTGACTACAAGAACTTGAGGGAAATTGTGGTGAACAACCGCATCACTTGGCTGTTTCACTACAGCGCCCTGCTCAGTGCAGTTGGAGAGGCTAACGTGGCCTTGGCTCGCTCTGTCAACATAACTGGTGAGTAATACCAACAAAAGTTGGTTAGATATGAAAATTTAAACTTTTCTTTTCTAAACCCAGTGAGCATTAGCCCTAATTCATATTTAGCATATACAACTGAAGCAGGGCCTTTGCATCCTAAATTGCTGCAAATGCACATAAAGAACTTTCTCTAAATGTGCGTTTAAAATATTATTTTGTGATAATAATGGAATTTTCATTACTTCTTATTAAGGGCTTCACAATATACTGGACATTGCAGCGGAGCATGGGTTACGGCTGTTTGTTCCCAGCACTATTGGAGCTTTTGGTCCCTCTTCACCCCGTAATCCAACACCTGATCTGTGTGTGCAGCGACCTCGCACTATCTATGGTGTGTCTAAAGTGCATGCTGAGTTGATGGGAGAGGTGAGGGCTCAGATTTTCTGCTTTTTTTTTTTTTGTACACGTTCCAAAAATCTGTTACCAAATGATCATATATGGTGACATTATTTTTAATTAACCTGAAGTTATTAAAGTAATATCTAATTTACATTTTTATACTTTTTAGTATTACCATCACCGTTATGGCCTAGACTTCCGTTGTCTCCGCTACCCTGGAATCATCTCTGCAGACTCCACGCCAGGTGGTGGCACAACAGGTATGAAATCACCTATGGGAAACTGCTAATGCCATTATTTATCTAATTATCGGTGTCCCTTCTTTCAACCTGTGATGATAATTGAAGCACTTTTTGATGCTTCAGAGAAGTTTTTTTTTATTTTTATTTTTTTTTTAGATTTACTTAAACATAGTAGAAACATCAGGGTAGGTGTAGCATCTACATCTTGCTGGATTAGTCCCTAAACCTCCCTATTCCACATGGGAAGGAATCATTGGGAACAACCCTGGTTTCCTGTTATGAAAGGGCTGTATGTGTTATTAGATCCAACCTTGTTGTATTACAGTCACAAGATTCTGGAAAAGTACCAGAAGAAACAACATGCTAAAAAAGGCATTGGAGTCACGGTCTGTTATTGTTTTTTTTTGTCAAAAAAAAAAAAAAAAAAAAAAAGGCATATAAGCTGTTGATCAAATTGGACACAATGGCCATTATTATATACACTAATATGCAGATGACGCACTGGTATTCTTGAATCATGATCTGAGGTAAAATTCCATCATATAATTTGTTATTCAAACCGCTCTTAACTAATGTTTTAAGCAAAATTTGGTAGTGCTACTTAAGAAAATGCATATATATAACCCTAGTTGGTGTCATTTGACATGACATTTAGTTTAACAGGCTATCTTGATAAAACATCACAGAAAGGTGAAGTGTGAGAGGAATAGAGAACTCTTCTGATTTAATAGCTTTCACATTTAATGGAGGTCTATTCCTGTATGCCTAGTTATCATGTTGCAAATTTGTTATGCAACTAAATCCAGAGTAGTCTTGTTACATTTTTAAGCTTTGAGTCATCTTCCATCCTTGTCTGCATATTTCTTTTCACTTGTAAATAACCGCCACACCCAAATCTTATCTCACCAGTTGCAGCTTTTATTTGAAGAGTTTTACAAAAATATTTCATTCAGAGATTATGCATATCAATTTAAAAATAATTAGCATCAGAACTGTTGTAATTATAAAAAGAATTTTAATTGACATATTTATCTTTTGCACCTTTTCAGATTACGCAGTTCAAATTTTTCACGATGCAATCAAGAGTGGCAAATTTGAATGCAACTTGAGACCCGACTCACGGCTCCCCATGATGTACATCGATGACTGCCTACGCGCCACTTTAGAAGTGATGGAGGCACCTGCTGAATCCTTGAGCATGCGGACATACAACATTAACGCCATGAGTTTTACACCTGAGGAGCTGGCCCAGGAACTCATGAAGCAGATGCCAGAGCTGGAGCTCACATACAACATCGACCCCGTACGACAGGCAATTGGTAAGCATCAGCTTTTAAAACGACATGACTGTTAATTTTGTCATTTTTGTTTTAAAACTTATGAATAAATGTTAGATTTTGTCTACCATGACATTTTATTATTATTATTTTTTTTTTTGTAGCTGATAGCTGGCCCATGAACTTTGATGACTCTAATGCTCGGAAGGACTGGGGCTGGAAGCATGACTACGATCTCCCAGAGCTGGTCCAGACAATGCTGAACTACTTGGGTGTGGAAACACGCATGGCCCAGGCCAGCTGAGCTGTCCTCTAGAGTTCATATCTGTACATAGTGTAAAAAAAAATCCCAAAGAGAATAGAAAACTTGATCTCTATATGAATGTTCCTCAAATTTTGTGAGCAAAAACAAACTAAAGGGCTGTGCTCAGCTGCTACATAGCCATAATTTCTACACAATGTAAAGTTGCAATGTGGGCAAGAGGAAACTTCCTGTTGAATATCTTGTCTGGGCTTGCTTGCTTTTCATTCTTGCTTCTTGGAAATTTGGCTTCAAAGTAAAACATTGTAGACTGTGGCTGGGTGAATAGTTTAGTCAATGGAACAGGTTTGGAATACCAGGAAGATGAGCTGGATCCGGAGGGAACTGCACAGAAATTTGCAAAATTCTTAGATTTTTGAGGGCATGCCAGATGTCTTTTTGGATGCACCGGGGGGGGGTGGAGGTGGGAGGGGTCTGAGCTCGAAGGTCTGCAGAGCTGATTAATGGATACTACTTAGTAATTGATTTATTTTTCATGTTCTGTTATTTATTCTTTTTCTGTTAAATGGTGGCAAGCTTTATTGCACCTAAATCATTTGACACTCTCTTTTTTTAAGTGTTTCTCTTTAGTTTTTGTTGTTTTATATTTTTTCACCAGCGCTGATGTTATTATGACAAAAGAAAATCAGAAATGTGACTCTATGTCACAGCCATATTTGGAAATTATTTAGATAGTGTCTGGCAAAGAGATTACCTCTAAGTGTGTATTTGACAATAAATATTTTCCAAAGACCTCATGGTTTCTGTGGATTTTTTTTCTTATATATATATATATATATTATTACCATCTTGCAAAAACTACTCTACCCCGCAGTCTCTTTGCTATGATTAATGAATTCACATTTATTTGCAATGATTTTGGTTATTCTCTATGACAAAAAAAGTGCTTAAACCTTATTTTTCAATTTTGTTTATTTTAGTTAGTAGTTAGATTAGTCTGCAGAACTGAACACTGCCTGTGTGTAGTATTTAGACTACTGACGATGTGCCTGTTTATGTTGATGACCACTAATAAAATATGTCTATTACTGGTTATATGAAAGACCTATACAGGTCCTTTTAATCTGGCAGTTTTAATCTTGATGGTTTAAATGTACCTCAGTAATTATTCTGTAATGATGAAAGACCCAATAGTCTACCTTTAAACAACTACTTCACTGAGGTTCAAAAAGAATCTTAAATACTTAGAACAATTCTGGTGTTTTACCACATCTCATGATTTGCTTACTACTTTTTGCACTGATTGAAATATCCCTTTTAAAAATCCACACAAAAAATCAAACCTCTAAAATTAGTAACCTAAACAAGAAGAGCATTAACTATAGATGACCTGTAAAGGGCATTTGAATGTTGTGTAATCAGAAAAAAACTGTTGTGCCAAAGGGAACAAATGGTGAGACGCAAAGCTGAGCTGTCATTGGTTGTAAATCACTCATTTGGTATTCATAGTTCAAACCTGTTTTTTTTGTTACGCAGACTTTAAAAAGAAATTTGTTGCACTTATTGGCAGGAATAAAGCTTTAATTAGAAGTGAAATAAGAACAACATAAGTCAATCTCAATTTTCATCCACATAATGGAATCACCCTCCCTGCAGTCAATATCCTTTCTTCAGTTTCACTGTGTCAGACTTCAGCAGCTGCAGGTCACCTTGGTTTGCTTGTTTCTGTGCAGAGACCAAATGTACAAAGAGATTCACTCTGTTCTTGGGCTGGAATCTATGGTTTTAACCAATAAAGCATATTTAAATCTACTATCAATATCATACTATCCTGTCAAATCATCAAGCTACAAATGAAAATGTGCATTTTTGGTATTGTTTTTTTCTTTAAAAAATTTATTATTCCCAATTGATGAAATTATATATGATGTACACATGAAAATTAGAAAGCATATTTTACCAGACTCTAGTTCTCATGACCTTTGAACTTTTCAAATTGCATCTTATTACAACTACAAACTCATCTGTGATTTTTATTAAATTGATTTTTTCTTATCAACACAAAGCAGCACATGTTTGTGAAGTGTGTAGAAAACGTTATATTTTTGTATTTATTTATTTTAAAAGCCTGGTAAGAGAGTAACATACAAGAAGCCATAATGCCATGGCAACTCAGGTGGTGGTGCAGAGATCAACATGCCAGGTGACAAACTTTGTTGAATTAGTTTATTAAATGCACACTGCATACATTTATTTCCACTCAAGTAGCAATAAGTGCTTTGTGACAGTGAATGCTGAAAATCACTCTATTTATATATAGGATATATATATATATATATATATATATATATATATATATATATATATA